GTCACGCCCTGGGACATACAGTCAGACAGACAGTCAGACACACAGACGGACAGTCAGACAGTCAGACGGACAGTCAGACAGTCAGACAGACACACAGGCAGACACACAGACATCAGATTCTGTACGCCGATCAGGTCACGCCCTGGGACATACAGTCAGACAGACAGTCAGACACACAGACGGACAGTCAGACAGTCAGACGGACAGTCAGACAGTCAGACAGACACACAGGCAGACACACAGACATCAGATTCTGTACGCCGATCAGGTCACGCCCTGGGACATACAGTCAGACAGACAGTCAGACACACAGACAGACAGTCAGACAGACACACAGACAGACAGTCAGACAGACAGACACACAGTCAGCCAGTCAGACAAACAGACACACAGACATCAGGTTCTGTACGTCGATCATGTCACGCCCTGGGACATACAGACAGACAGACACAGACAGTCACACAGACAGACAGACAGACAGTCAGTTAGACACACAGACAGGCAGACACACACACAGACAGACAGACAGACAGTCAGACACACAGAGAGACAGACAGTCACACAGTCAGACACAGACAGACAGACAGTCAGTCAGACACACAGACAGACACACAGATAGCCAGACACACAGACAGACACACAGACAGACAGACAGACACACAGACAGATAGACATACAGACAAACAGACAGACAGACAGACAGACAGAGAGTAGGAGTGTGTACCTCTGTTGGTGGAGGAGGCAATTGGCTCTTTCTCCCGGATCCAGTCTTCCTCGTCTTCAATGTCACGCAGGAACTGCTGCAAGGTCAAGGCCTCTGTCAACTTCTGCTTTCTCTGGTGGATGGGGGCCTGTAGCGGGAAAGGGTGGACAAGAAAGAAAGTCTTCACAATACTGTGTACCTGTAGCACAACTTCTCAACCACACAGGACTCGGCTCAAAAGAACAAGCAAAATTACCAGGAAATCAAAATAATCTGTCCAATAAAACACAAATAATTGTCTCAAAAAAACACATAAGAAAATTGTTGAACAAAACATGAATAGAATTTAACAGTCCAAAAGAACCTTTGAAAATTGTTCAATAAAAGACAAATAATTGTCATAGGAAAATACTCAATTGAACTGGCAGATTAACTTTCTACAAAGGCAGAACTATATTTCTTTCCTTCAGGAAATCGCTAGTTTCTGGACAAGGTTCCCACCCAAAAGTTCATTCCTTTCATTTACTTTTCTAACCATTTCTTAACATATACACACTAGCCACAAGTGAATGGTCAAATTCTTCCATCGACTTACCTACAGTTCCCGATACCTGTCCACCTATATTCCAAGGTTTCCATTGACTTACCCACAGTTCCCGATACCTGTCCACCTATATTCCAAGGTTTCCATTGACTTACCTACAGTTCCCGATACCTGTCCACCTATATTCCAAGGTTTCCGTTAACTTACCGACAGTTCCCGATACCTGTCCACCTATATTCCAAGGTTTCCGTTAACTTACCGACAGTTTCTGATACCTCTCCACCACCTCCACCTGCTTGCAGCGGATGTTGTCTTTGTCAAAGTGGTCGCCGTTCTGGAAGAGCGTGGCCTGGGACTGGAGCTGATCCAGTCGGTCCTGACAACAAAAAACATCCAGGTTCGAGATTTAGTAAGCGTTTTACGGCACTTGCGACAAAAATAGGTCATGTAAGTTTTGTAGATTAGAGGTGTCACTACTGGAGAGTAACATAGAAGAAAACTTCATAGAGATAAGGACGACAGAAGTTTGATAAGAAAGATCTTATTTGTTTCTGGAAACTATCCATGGCACCTCCATCGTGAACCACAATTAGCCTATCTTACAGTTTATTTATTATGCAACCAATCAGCGGCCTTCTTTCATACCAACACCCGTTGTTAGCACTATCAGCACGCACATGTCTTAGCGTGTGTCTGGGTTGGTCAGTTGCTTTTGTTCCACTGGCTACTGCCCAATATTACAATGGTAAGCTAGTCTTGACATAGACGTGCTGGACTGGAATCAAACGATGCCGTATGCTAGGCTCTACATAGCAACATAACTTGCTCGGCAAACAAAACGTTATGATAGATGATAGAGGCATGTATTTGAACCAATCAGCCTTTTTGCACACTGTGTACCTGGTAGAGTTCAGTGTTCGGCATATTTTCCCGGAATTTTCAAGCAATTTTTCAGTACTGCATTAAAGAAAGGAAACTACCTCTCATTTGAAGCCAAATTACTTTTGGCAGAGAAAGACGAATACACTATACATTACAAGCTCAGTGTCTCTATCAACATAAAACCCTCATTTTGCTATAACATGCTCAGTGTCTCTATCTACATAAAACCCTCATTTTGCTATAACAAACACTTGGATTCAATCAAATTGAAGGCCAGGCCCGACGACTTCGTTGAACCAGAGTTCCACTATATATAAAATATACTATACTATATACGCATATATATAATTATATTCCAATAGCGCTATGAAATGCGCCAAAAAACTTGTGTACCTTATTCCAAAATTATATCTATAGCGTCTCTATATCCCATCAGTTGTGTGACGGGCGCCACATTTCCCTGAGCTTATTCCAAAGATCTATCTATATATAAGTGTGTGTGTGTGTGTGATTGTGTGTGATTGTGATTGTGTGTGTGTGTGTGTGTGTGTGTGAGACGTGTGTGTGTGTG